AACGTGTCAAAGCTTTAATTTAATTCATTAATTAATGAATGAAGCAGAAAGATATTACAATTGGTTCAAAGAGAATTCAAAGAATCACATATATCCAGGCATTAGGAATGGGGAAATAAATTTGCTTAACAAATTTAAAACTTCAAAACTACTCAATATCCACAGAGCAATAATCAAATGAATCCCAATGAGATACAATTTGCATTTCTATGGACAAGAATCATTTGCATTACTATAAGTATTATATAACTTACAGAAATGCAAAATAATTCAAAGACAATAAAAGACTCAGAAACCAGACAGAATCAGATAATTTGGACAATGCCCAATTTCCCATTGAAGACAACCCTAATATCTTGGTCTATTTCTAAGTCTTTCACAAGTTTTCCCTACAAATAAAACAAAAAGTACTAATTCCCTGTGCCCCAATGCACAAAATCTGGAGGGAAAGGAATGAAGAAGAGGGAGATAAACACAATAACTGAATAGATTACAAGGCACAGTGGGATATAGTCCAAAAGAACTGATAGTTTCCCAATAGACACATCATGCACAAGGAAGGAAGATACCATACCTACTCTGATTGGGTGCTGTCTGGTGCCGAATGCATATTGAAGCATACACAGAAACAAAAGTACTCTGACAAACCCCGTGCAGGGAAAGAGTGATATTCCCACAGGGAGCCTTGGCGAAGAGGCAAAACACTGCAGGTTTTTACAGAAGAAAGTTCTTTTGACTGTGTTAATCATTTCACAAAGTATGGTTATATCAAATCATTACTTTGTACCCTATAAACAATTTTATTTGTCAATTATACCTTACTAAGGCTGAAGGTGGGGGAAGAAGAAAGGTTTTAAATAAGTAGAATATGAGGTACAAGAGAAAAAGTATTCAAGCTAAGGGAATAATATTAAGAAAAAAGCAACAGATACATAATGTTTTCTGGCTTGTACTTTAGTATGGCTGGATAATATGAGAGCTAAAGAAAGTAGTATAGGTAAAGTAATAGGAGTAGAAGTCAGTTTTCAAGTATTTAAAGAACCAATAAATAGAAAACATCAGGCCAGAAGTTTGACAGTTAAGGGAGAAGAGATTGTGTGGTGAATTAAGGAAGATGCTTTAAATAGGAAGTATTTGAGCTTACACCCTGGGTAAACAGTGAAGAGGGAGCAATTTATAGGTAAAAATAAAGAAGGGAAACTTATGATACCAGATTCTCAAATGAAATTTTACTGATACAATCAAGGACACAGATAAAAGAAGAGAAAAAAAATTGGGAAAAGAAGAGAAAGAATTGCTCAAGTCAGAATGGAAGCATAGTTAATTACACAGTATTGCATATTTGCAAGTTGTTAAGAAAGCAGATCTTAAAAGTTCTAAACATAAGAAAAAAAATCCTGTAACCATGTATGTATGTTGTTATTGTTTAGTCACTCAGGCATGTCCAACTCTTTTGCAACCCCATGAACTGTAGCCTGCCAGGCTCTTCTGCTGGGATTTTCTGGGCAAAAATACTAGAGTGGTTTGCCATTTCCTACTCCAGGGAATCTTCCCGACCCAGGTATCGAGCTCACATCTCCACATTTCTTATATTGCAGGCAGATTCTTTATGTATGTATGCATGGTTACAAATGTTAACCAGTTATGATTTTGCAGCATATACAATTATCAAATCACATTGTATGCTAGAAACTAATACAATGCCAAATGTGAATTATACCAATTTTAAAATCCCAACAAAATGGACACAGTAGAGCAGGAACAGTTTATATCAAAATATTCTCACCTCAGAACTGTGCTTCTCCTATGGTGCTGGTCCTTTTCAAGCCTGTTTCCTCTCTTCTTTATCCTCATGACCTCCTGTGGTACAACAGGAAATAGATATTTGGTTAAAAAAGAAAAAAAAAACAGAAGGGAAGGAATAAAGTGTGGTCAGTATTTTTCATTTTGTCTCCTATTAGATCGCTTCTTTCTTTTTATCCTATTATTAGCATTGAGGTAATCTGCTGAGCATTAGTTAACATTCTGGCAAATAAACATGGAGCCACTAACTAGTTTTTAGCATTATTATATTTAAGAAAGTTCAGTCTGGTTAGAGGAATGGCAGGAAGCTGTAAGATTGAATATTTGAGCCAGACATGAGGGAGAAAAGTTTAAAGCATAAAAAATCCCAGCAAGATATCATGCTTTAAGCAAGGCAACAACAAGGGAATGGAGAGGAGGCAACATATTTGAGCAAATAGCTCAATGGGAAGGCAGAATGGGAGTAGAGCAAGCGAAGACTGAAAAGAACACGATTCTTCCTAGAGCTTGTCAGAGAAGGAACTAGATGGAGAGTTAAACAGAAAGAAATACAGTCCATGGATGGCATTCACTAACAAGATAGTTATTGGTAGAAGGGAAATGTCCAGGAGAGAGGAAGAGTTTAAAGAAGACACAGAAAGAGAATGACTGACATAGGGATACCTGATGGAGTCATCAACACACCCAATAAAGGGGGACAGGAAGAGATTCAGAGCAGAGAAGGATTAGCTTTAAACTGGACAGAAGGATATGCAGATGACACCACCCTTATGGCAGAAAGCGAAGAACTAAAGAGCCTCTTGATGAAAGTGAAAGAGGAGAGTGAAAGAGTTGGCTTAAAGCTCAACATACGGAAAACTAAGATCATGGCATCTGGTCCCATCACTTCATGGCAAATAGATGGGGAAACAATGGAAACTTTGTGAGAGACTATTTTTTGGGCTCCAAAATCAGATGGAGAGTACAGCCATGAAATTAAAAGATGCTTGCTCCTTGAAAGAAAAGTTATGACCAACCTAGACAGCATATTAAAAAGCAGAGCCATGACTTTGCCAAAAAAGGCCCATCTAGTCAAAGCTATGGTTTTTCAAAGAGTCATGTATGGGTGTGAGAGTTGGACTATAGAGAAAGCTGAGTGCCAAAGAATTGATACTTTTGAACTGTGATGTGGAGAAGACTCTTGAGAGTCCCTTGGACTGCAAAGAGATCCAACTAGTCAGTCCATCCTAAATGAAATCAGTCCTGAATATTCATTGGAAGGACTGATGATGAAACTGAAACTCCAATACTCTGGCCACCTGATGCAAAGAACTGACTATTTAGAAAAGACCCTGATGCTGGAAAAGATTGAATGTGGGAGGAGAGATGGTTGAGGATGAGATGGTTGGATGGCATCACCGTCTCAAATGACACGAGTTTGAGTAAGCTCTGGGAGTTGGTGATGGACAGGGAAGCCTGGCGTGCTGCAGTCCATGGGGTCACAAGAGTTGGACACAGCTGAGTGGCTTAACTGAACTGGAGGGAAGGAAGGGGGGGGGCACAAGTTATTTACAACATTTCAGAAAGCCTTCTGGAAATTGCAATTAAATAAAATGTCAAGTTTTTTTACTTTTGGCAGGCATTAAATCAACCCTGCAGGCCAACACTGGTTATCACGTGCTGATCAGAAATTCTAATTTGCTGTTGATGATATCATAGAAATTTCCAAGATGTGATTTGGTAGACCGTATACTGTTAGCAGAGTTATTTGTTTTTTGTTGTTTTTTTTTTTACAATATCTGATTTAATTCTCCCAGGATGTGATCAACCTTGGATCAGAAGAACGACAGCCAAAATTAAGCAACCACTTCCAGGGAACAGTGCCTAGTGTTTGTACACTTATTTAGCTTTATTGCTTATTAGCATTACATCCATGACAGTGATGTATGTGATTTCATTTAAGTGACAAAAATCTTTCAAGATATGGGGTCCATAGATAAAAACATAATAAAAAGAATCCTTGGATGAAAAGAACTGGGATGACAAGATCTGTACAGTCCCATCATATCGAACATTCTATCACTTTAAGAGGGACCTATAAATACAAGTTCAGGAATGGATAAATGGGAAAGTTGCACAGAGCACCAGAAAACACCCTAACTAATCAGTAACTCACTCAAGTAGAAAAGGAAGCAAATGTAAATAACCATTCCACATGGAAGGTAGCACAGGAGTACCCAGAAAACTAAATAAATAATAAAATGGGGGGAATAAGGAGCGTTTAACAAAGGCAAAGGAGTGCTCCTTTTTTTGATAACCACATTCACCAACTTCAGGAGCATGAATGATGATGGTTCCGAGAACACATTTTGACGTCTGGCCCAACCACCTAGACAGCCTTCGTGTAAATGGAAAAAAGTGGAGTTCTTTTCTCAGCAACACCTACATTAAGCGAGGCTTGTTTTGTACCTTCTGCTCTGTTCATTCCAGAAGGGAGTGGTAACCCACTCCAGTATTCTTACCTGGTGAATCTCATGGACAGAGGAAGATGGTGGGCTCGAAGTTCATGGGGGTCTCAACGAGTCGGACTTGACTGAAGCAACTAAACACTCTGTACTTTAATATACTTTCGCTCACTGGAACTGGGTAAACCCAGGACTTTTTTTTTTTCCCCCCCGTTTTCAAGAGAAATGGGCTTCCGAGCAGTGAGTTAAGAGTTAAGACTGGTCATCCAGGTGGGTTGGATGCTAAGGCTGTCCGCAGTATCCAGACTGACCAGAGAGCCCCGGTGACATCGGGGTGGCCTTCGCATCCTGCTAGGCAGGTTTAGGGAGTAGAAAGCTCGTTAAAGGGTGTGTTGTAGAAGGAAGGAGGGGAACGATGTGTGCTTTTCTTCCGGAACAGTACTTCTATTGCCCCAACCTGGGCTCAGGTTGCCGCCAGTAAGCTAATTAAAAGCCCAGGAGTCGCGCTCGGGCCAGGGTGGAAGCCTGGTCCCCTCTCCTCACGTCGCCCATGTCTCTGCCGCCGCCGCCGCCGCCTGCCGCGGGTGACCCGGTGACCCAGGCGGACAGTCTGGGGTCCGTGACCCCGGAGGACTGGGCAGCCGGACCCCCCTCGCAAGCGCAGCCTCTATTAAGACAGGAGGCTAAAGGGGAGGAGGAGGAAGGGGAGGAGACAGGCGTCCGGGGCGCCTGGGGGACCGGCACGGCGGAGCAGCGGCGGCGGGGCTGGGGGGAGGCCGCCGAGGCGGCCGCGGCCGAGGAGGGGCAGGGAGAGGCCGGGGGCGCCGCGGGGTCAGTGTCCCCGGCGGGAGGCGCGGGTGGCGGCCGCGAGAGCTGGCGGCGGCTCCTCGCCTGGCTGCGGCGGCGGCAGCCCCAGTGCTGCCCCTGTGCGGCGCCCCTTCCCCGCTCCGCCGCGCACTGTTGTCATGGAGGAACCAAGATGGCGGCTCTGGCCTACAACCTGGGCAAGCGGGAGATCAACCACTACTTCAGCGTGAGGAGCGCCAAGGTACTGGCGCTGGTGGCCGTGCTGCTGCTCGCGGTGTGCCACCTCGCCTCCCGCCGCTACCGAGGTGAGCGGGCCCTCCCCCTGCCCGGGCCGGCCGGGGCGGGCGGAGGCGACGCGGAGGCTGGAGGCCGCCCCCCTCGCCCGACACACGCCCACGCTCACGCGGCCGCCCGCCGGCGCGCCCAGCGGGCGGGGCAGGCGGTACCCCCGCGTGCCCCGAGGTGGCCCGGGCGGCGGGCCAGGCGCCCCCGGCCGCCCGAGCGGACCCCAGTTCAGGCGGCCCCGGCCCGAGGGCCCGTGGTCCTGGGCACCGCCCCCACTCCGAGCCTCCAGGGCTGGAGTCGGGGGCGCCCGCCGGGGCCGGGCCCAGCGGGTAGCGGGGGTTCCGGCTCCTGCGCGGGCTGGGCCGGGGGAGACGCGGCAGGCCCGGGGCTCGCGTGCAGGAGGCGAGCAGGCGGCCCTCGGGGGGCCAGCCCAGGGCGCCTGCAGGCCAAGGCCGCCCGGCACGGGGGCACCTCCGCTCTAAGTGGGCTCGCCCAGTTCTGCGCCTGAGGTGCTCGGCTTTTTAGCCTTTGTTTTATCCCATGTCTGCCCCTGGAACAGCGGGGCCAAGCTGTTGGACAGCGGCAAGGGCCGCCCCATTTTCTTTTGCCGCCGAGTTGACAGCTGGCAGAAGATGCCCTTGGCCAAATGGAGGAGGTATCACCCAGGCTTTGTGATTCAGAAACATTTAAAGGGGTCTGGTTGCACACTTTTTACAAAGTGAAGCCACTGGTGCCGATATCAGAAAAGAGCTCATGGGTTGACAGTTGAGGTGGGCAATGAAAACAAATTGGAAGCCGTCTGAGGAGGCCTTCGCTGTGGGTTTTGAAATTGGTGCAAAGAGTAAGGAAATATGACCTCATTATTTCAGAACGTCTTATTCTTCAGTAATCAAGGGATATTTACTTGTCCTTCTTGATTGATTTTTTTTTTTCCTTTAATTCTCTCTCTAAGAATGTTACTAGGTTAGAGGTTGACAGGCTGAGGGAAATTAACAAAGACAGGATCTCTTGTTTGTGGTTCTTATAGTTTTGAAGCCATTATCTGGACACCTCTTGGTGATTGTGAGATAACTGGTCAAGAGGTAATGTGTAATAGGTGCGCATTTAAGGTGTTTCCCCTTTAGCTTCACACCTACTTTTGCAAAATATCCAGTAAAGGGGGCACTGGAATCTGAACTCTCTTCTCATTTTAGGAAATCTTTAAAAGTAAAGGGTATTTTGATCAGTTGTGCTGTTTTTTTTTTTTTTTTTTTTTTTTCCTGCAATGCTTGGGAATTAAAAATCTTATACTCTAGTACTGTACTGGATGAATCGCCCTTAATATAAATACACGAAATCGATTGAAAAAGATAAATTGCTTATACCCTCTTGGCCTTTCTCCTCCAGCTTCCCATAGATCACATTCGCATGACCTGGCAAGACTTTGGTTCATTTGCTGTAAGAGAAGTCCAACACTTTGAAATACAAAATAAAGCTAGCAATTTGATGCCTTCATGTATTGTCATTTTAAAGAAAATTTTCTGACCACCGACATTTTATGCTATTTTTATGCTATTTTATACTGTTATGATAGTAATCTAACTCAATTTTATGTGTGTGAAAGTGGAGATAACTTTTATAACTGTGTACTGTGGTCCTCCTATAAGTTAAACATCTAGTCCCCCCCCACCTCCCTTTTTTAATTGTGCTTTTATCTTTTGATAAACGTGAATCCTAATTGCTGTATTTAGATTATAAATTTCATCCGTTCAAGATCTGTCCTCAGCAGGGAAAATAGAATGTCAGATGTAGCAATCTGGGATTGTTTCTAAAGCTCATCATCAGCTTCTGTAGGTTTTTCAGTGTCCTGAGTGTGAGGCAGTACACCTGGTGTGTGGACATGCCCAAGCAGAACGTCAGGAACTTGAGCCAGAGACTGTTTGGGGAAAAAAAGGATCTTACCAGAAACTTCTTAGCCAGCCTCATGCTTTAGCAGTGTGAAACAGTCAGATGCAATGCTTTTCACACAAGGATAATCAAGCACTTGAATCACAGCATCATAAATCTTTAGAATAAGGAAGGACCTTATATTACATATAGAGGTTTAGGCTGTGTATTAAAATCTCCAGTGTGTGAGTATGGGTTTGCCTCTGGCCAGGGGAGTGAATGCAGTTGAAATACACAAATTCAGTATCTCTTGTTTTACAAACTAAAGAAAGTAAAAAATTGCACACTACAGAAAGCAAAGCTTGGCAAAACTACATGCTATCATTGAGCACTTATTATATGCCAGGTGCTGTTCTACTAAGGGTTTTAAATCTTAACTCATTTTGTCTTTGCAACCAGCCTGTGGGTAGATACAATTACTAGATTTCAATCTTCCCACTTCCCGCCCCCACCATTTTTAATATCTGTAATCAAGATGAGTTTTTAAAACTTTGATTGCATGTCAAAGTTTAATTGATAACATTTTTCCTACTGTTATATAAAATAATGGTGTATTTTATAATCAGTGGTCTTAGATTCAGAGAATTGCAGTATTATTTGTATTTTAAAGATGAGGCATGAGAGGTTAAGTTGCCTAAAGACACACAATTAGTCTGAGCTAGGATTTAAAACCAGTTAGTCGTGTCTCATACCATTATGTTATATTCTGCCCTTCTGGAGCCTCTTAGACAGTAGTAATATATAAAAGGAGTGAGAAAGCGTTTTCTGTCAGAACATGGGTTAAATCATTTAGAAATACCAATTCAGCCTCACAGTGCCAGCCAAGAATTGTCTTATTCATTTTGCAATAAATGGTGATTTTCTAGAAGTTACATGTCTAAAACCAAAATCTTACCTGTTTACGTGTTCCTTTAAATCCTGGTTCAGATGTCACCAGCATAGAAGTAGAAATTAGGAATTCAGTGTTTCTACAGTTACTAATACATGCTTACCATGTTGTATTATAATACTTTATATCTGACTTCCCCACAGACTTTGAGCTTCCAAGGGTATTTTATTCATCCTTAAATCATCAGAGCTTAACACAGAGTAGGAACTCCGTAACAGTTATTAGATAAACAGATTTTTGAAGTCCTTATTTCCTTCTCTTTGCCTCCCTGCATTTGGTTCTTTTGGTTTTAATTGAATTTCATGTTCTAAGAGCATATTCTGATCTTAACTTTAGAAAGTAGTGTTTTGTGGGGTTTTTTTTTCATTAATATTATTTCACATAATATTAAAAAATGACATTTTTAAAAGTAGTTATTCTTTTACTTACATTTTCTCTAAATTTTACCATTATGGAATCACAAGATATGTATTAATATTGTGATTACAGACTAAAAGCATCATTTCTGGGGTAAGAAACCAATATCAGTAGCCCTAAGAGTAGTTCCAATCTGGTTAAATTTAGATTTTTTAATTGATAGAGTTAACTTGCTTCAAATGTCTTAGTTTTGTTGAATTCTAATTCCTTTCTGTCATAGGCATATTTAATGCAAATATGAAATAATACTGCACGGTTTGGAAAAAATGAGTTCAAAGCTTCAGAAATTAAAACAAGAAGCAGCATTAGGTCTCTCAGGCTTTTCCTTCTTTGGCTGCTAGAAAAATCTACATGACACTGCTTGTAAAGAGGCACTACTAGCTTATCTAAAGAAAATTGTAAATGGTGACTTTTCAACACAGACAGAAGTATAACTTGCTAAATTTTGGGCAAATAAGATATTTTGCAGATCACATTGTAAAGTTTATGATCTGGTATTTTCATGGTTGATAATAAGAAACATACAGCTTTATCAAGATGATTCAGTCTAAAGGTACGGTGTGCCAGAGGTATTCTATTCAATGAAAAATGTAAGCCTCAGTTTGTTAAGCAGGTCAGGTGTTTTCTTTAGTTGTTAACATGTTGTTTTTCAGGTTGCTTTTTTTTAAAACTTGTTTACCTTTTTACTTACTTTGTTTGCTCTTAGTATCTTTCTGTTATAGAAAAATCATGCATAAAAACCTGAGACTTTAGATTGACAGACCAGGATGCTTATGCTTAAGATAACAGAATGAAGGGAAGACAGCCATTCATCTAGATAATCTTTGTATTAGAGATAGCTGAAGTAGATAATTCTATCCCATTAGTTGCTTTTTTCTTTTTTTAAATTCTGTTCCTAACATGATTTATCTGAGCACTTGGCAACTTTCATCTCACTGGTTGTATTAAGGTAGCTATCAAAATTATATAAAGCAATTGAAAATAATGACTGCAGTATTTTGTTTTCTTTTGTTTGGGGTTCTTCTGGGTAAATTTTGAAAGGAAAATAATGTGCCAGCATATGTTAACATGTAGCTAGTATACATAATATAAATGTGTCACATTAATTTAATATTTAGATTTACATTTGGTGATTTGATTTTAAAACTTTCCTTCCCAGGAAAAGAGAACTAGTTTTAGAGTACAGAATTTTGTGGAGATTTTTGTTTTTGTTTTTCTTTAGGACAAGTTATTTTTAATCAGATATTATAGTATTTACTAATGCTACTATTTTGATTATTTTGCTGACAAATACACTGACAAATACATAAAAGTCTGTGTCCTCCTAACCTTTTCAGTTATCTACTTAGCGATTCTTTTACTTTCCTAACAGTTCTTCATATTACATTCTCTCTACTAAAATAGCTAGTGTAGTTCCTGTGTTTTGAGTAGACCTTAACTGGCTTCCCTGTGGCTCAGACGGTAAAGAATCCACCTGCAATGCGGGAGACCCCTGAGTTTGACCCCTGGGTCAGAAAGATCCCCTAGAGAAGGGAACGGCTACCCACTCCAGTATTCTGGCCTGGAAAAGTCCGTGGACAAAGGAGCCTGGCAGGCCTCGTCCATGGGGTCCCGAAGAGTCGGACACGACTGAGCGATTTTCACTTTAACTGATAAGATACAGAGACTGTTTCAGATACAGGGTTTTTCTTTTCTTTTAATTTGCATCATAGAATATATTATGAAGAGTCATCATTAACTAGCATTTATTCAACTACCGTATTAAGGATATTTTCCCCGGAAAGACCAGCTAGTTTTTAAAAGAGAGTGTTATAATGTCTTTCGGCTAGTGACAACTTTAAATCTGTCTTGGTGTGAGGTTTTTCTAATGTGGGGTCTTGAGATTAAAGCTTTTGTTTTCTACCAGCTGAACTACTGAAAAATAATGTCTGAGTAGGAATATTGAAGAGGGAAAGAAGAATTTAGCATTTTAACACACATTTTCTGGTGGAGAAAATTGGTTATTTTAAGACACTGGTGTGGCACTTCCATCTCCACAAAATCGTATCGATAACCTGTAGAGATGGTTAAACAAATAGCATAATCTACCAACACTGAAGATTGATCCCACTTCTATTAAGAAACAGAAGTCAAGTAACAATAACAACAAGAAGAAGAAGGGATGAAGAAAGGAAAACTATAGAATGCCAATTGTTTAAAACTTCTTGTATAACTTTTTAAGAAAATAAATGTGTTACTAACTTTGCTTGATTTAATAGATGTATTTAAAGAGATAGAAGTGCTGTAAATATGGAATTTTCATCCTAATTTTAAACATTTACTAGATTTTTAATAGGATTTTACTATATGGCCATTATTAAAAAATACAGCAGCAGTTCTGTTTTTAGGAAATAATTGTATGTTTCTATAGTCCTTTCTTTACTCCTCCGTGATTGTTTATGTAACTTAATTTTGTTTTTTAGAACTAGCATTAGTTTTTGATAATTGAAAAGAATTAAGAACTGATTATTTATAGTTTCCTTAGAGAGATGTTATTAAAAAATCTTTAAAATACAGAAAAAACTGCTTAGGCTACATCTGTAATTACAAAAATATAATAATTTATCATCTACTTTCCTTATCCAGTTTTCACCAACAAAACAGTGTACTATTTTCACTTTCCTCCCTGTTCTGTTTTAGAATTTATGACACTGTGGTATCAACATTTTCATTGTTTATGCTTACTTGCCTTGTGTTTGTATCACCTTTTATCTGTGTGTTCAGATAAAGGGATGACTGGATGGAGAAAAGAGATGTGTTCTATTTAAAATATCTTTGGCTCTTTCCTATCTTCACCATTTTGTCCTATTCTTTTTACCAGATCCTCCGTCCTGACCTTAACTATTTGTAAAACAAATAGAGATTGCTATTGACTGTTAAAGAACTGGAGATCAAATTTAAAAGCACATTAACTGTAACCCCACAGTTAATGTGCACATCTCATTTCTCCCTCGTCCATTTGACATATTTGAACTTTTCTAATGCCTCCAACCCCCTTTTTAACCACATACATTGGTTATATACTTTAGGCTAATGTACAGTAAAATGGCCAAAGGAAGTAAGGTAACCATCTGTTCCAGTTTACACAGGAGTGAGGGGGTTTGCAGATACAGGATTTTCTGTTTGAAACTTCTCCCAACTACAGTGGGAGGAGTTTGCTGTCATCCTAACGGTGGAGGCAAGAGACAATCGAGAGAAGTAGAGGATGGATATTAATAATAACACTTGTTACTGATAATTGATCATGTGTATCTTCAGCCATCTTTTGACTAACAGTGTTTCAAGTCTTTTGAGATTGTAAAAGGATGACATTTTATTACTCATTTTAAGAAGTTTTTAATAATCCTTTCTCTGTTTGCACATTTACAGAGTAGGGATATAGCCCACTTCCTTGCAGGGAAGTTGTGAAAATTAGGGCGTAGATTTATTAAACTACTTCAATATTTACCAGGTTTCTGATGTACTAATACACAAAGTACTGTAATAGTTGAATAGGAAGTCATTTCCAAAGTCTTCTCGTTTATCTCTTAAACTTCAGTTTCCCCACTAGAAGTAGAAATGATAAACAGATATAAAGGCTATTTTGAGAGGAGGAGCTAAGATGGCAGAGGAATAGGACGGGGAGACCGCTTTCTCCCTTACAAATTCATCGAAAGAACATACGAACACTGAGCAAACTTCACAAAATAGAGGCTATTTTGAGGCAAGCTGTCCTTGGAAGGAAAACTTGCAGTAGAACTGCCACAGCATTAACGTAGCACTGGGGATGAAGTATATTCTGGTAAATTATCTGTACTGGTGTCTCTGACCATTTTCAATATTAGTATATTAATAGTTACTATGCTTCTCATGGATGAGTCGTATGTACCTAGAAGGTATAGTGAAGTGTCGAAAACTCTGTACTCTCATCTCCAAGGGTAAATTGGGGTCAGACAACCAACATATCAAAATGTAACTATTGTTAACAACGTTACTGTGTTTAATTATTACAGGCAATGATTCATGTGAATACCTTCTCTCAAGTGGCAGATTTCTTGGAGAGAAAGTTTGGCAGCCTCACAGCTGTATGATGCATAAGTACAAAATCAGGTATAGTTTCTTCATTTTTTTTTTTTTCTTCTTTTCTAAGATGGGTCTTAGTATCTGGTAGAGAAGTGTTAATAGAGCAAAGAAAGTGGCAGATGGTGCTTCTCTATGTGATGGTAGAGAACTGCTGACAGGGCAGGAGTGGGGGTGAGTCCAAAGGAGTATTCTTGCTCTAAAGCATTAGGGAAAGCTTTGGACCAATCTGCTTTATCTCAGGTGAGAGAAAACCAGGGGCCGAGGGCAATAGCCTGTGAATGAAGGACTTTTGCTTTGGAACTTGGATAGCTACCTTGTGCAGTTTTTTCTGAGAGAGTGGGTATTAAGCACTTACTGTGGTTCGAGTATATATGAAACACTTAATAGAATTAATCAATCATACACGAACTGGTAGGTTAAACAAACCTGGCCACCTATTTCTAAAACAACAATGTAACTGTGTATAATAATCCCGTACTACTTTCTTCACAAATTATGTGCTTTAAAGATGCCTGTGCTGATTTTCTGTATTCTAATTGATGTTTCCTTGTTGATTTCAGTGAAGCAAAGAACTGCCTCGTAGATAAACATATTGCATTTATTGGAGATTCCAGAATTCGTCAATTATTTTATTCTTTTGTGAAAATAATTAATCCTCAATTCAAAGAAGAAGGAAATAAGGTAAAATCTGTCTATTCATTTCATTAAGGTATTGTTTTAGAAGTTAGGCAGTTGAGGAATGTGCCCTTTCACATTAACAAAAGAAACTATAAAATTTTTAGTTTGGTTTTGGGAAAGGGGGCAGGGGACAATTTGCCGTTACAGAGCCATAAGGAAAAGAAGTGGTGGGTAAAGTACTGGCAAACTTTTTATTGACTTAAACTTTTTGTTTTCAGAAACATTAAAATTCTTTCCATGGAAAAACTTAAAAAAAATTTTTTTAAAAAGAATAAAGAAGAAATATCCCTTATCCTCCTTTTAATATTTTGCTATATTTCTTTTCAGTCTCTTTTTTAAAGAACAAAATTGCAATAGATTAGCATGTACAATTTGATATCTTCTTTGCCAGCACTTATCATAATTTACCATATTATTATAAATCAGTTTAAGTATCTTCATAATCGCAGCATACTAGTGAGTGGATATAATGTGATCTTACATAATCTTCCCTTTTCTTAACTTTTTGTAGTTTTCTAATTTTTAGTATTTTGTTATTTTAAAAAGGACATTTTTATTACATTTTTGTGTGAAAACTTTGCTTTTTAAATTATTTCCTTAGGATAGAATCTCTACAGTGCAAATATTAGGTTAAAGAATATAGTACTTTAAAAATTATTGATTATATTGTTAAATTCTTTCAATCTATACTATAATCAGCAGTGTACATTGGAACCTAATTTTCTGTAACCTTTCTGGCACTGGACATTCATGCTATATAATTAAAATGACAGTGTGGCAAATTTCTGCTCTTTAATTTCTCATTTTAAAAATATCTTTTTTTAAAAAAAACTAACAAGGATGAACATCTTTCTAAATGTTAATTTGTTAATTAGCTAATTTTTGTGAACTATTTAATTGTATCTTTCTGTTTAATACATTTTTAAGTGATCTGAAGTTCTCATTTCTGTCTTTAATTGCATATGGTTGGGAGTGGGGAATAACAAGAAGAAAAAAGTAAAGTACAAGAAAGTTCAGAATTGTAGGGGTAGTAGTTCATAAATGTATGATAAAAATCTGCCTATACACATCACCTTGTCCAGTGGTAGGAAACTGAAAAATCAGGGACTTCACAGCTAACTAACTAGTCTCATCATGATGATGGTAATGGATACTAAGTCCTTAGGAACTCTTGTAAGAAGAGTCCAGTAGCGATTTTGTCTACTGGGAAAAGCTAGTATAGATTTTAAAGCTGAATAATAGAAGATAACAAAGTCAACTTTTCATTTTATTTGATATCTATAAATGTATTTTGCATTCGTATTTATACATACAAAACTACACAGAAGATTTGAAACTATTTAATGACTTGAGATTCTTACAGTTTAAAGTAAAAAATGTCAGTAAACATTTAAAAAATAGATGTCTGAATTTAAAAAAAAACAGTTTTGCTATTTCTAGGCTTAGAACAGAGGATTTGAAGATTGGAATAATGCATCTGGCAAGAGCTAGTTGGAAAAAATCTATGGTGGTTTAGTCTATAGCCAGAAGTAGCTACAGTGTGGCATGCTGTTCCTGAGCACTAGGTTTCCGATTTTTATTTTCCAGAGGTTCCTTGTTATCCCAGTTATCAAACAAGATGCATTTTATTTTATATACATTTTGAAAAGAAAGTCTGTTATAGTTTTAAAGAGACAGTTATTGTGAAACTAGTTCAAACTACTGGTGGAGCAATTGTTCAATTGTATTTTACTTATTCTCTTCTCTCTGAACACCTTGAGGACAGAGATTATATATTATCATTGTTTTTAAAATATGTTTCTTATACATATTTCACAACATAGCCTGGCATGTTGTGAAAGTTGATTAATTTTTTTAGCCTTGGTTATGGGATTCTTTTAGTGGAATAGGAGTATTGAAGATTTTTTTTAAAATTTCTTTTCTGTATTGAGGGAAATTTTTTTAAAAAGAAGCTTTAGAGCAGGATTTATTTTTTTCAAATTATGTTTTGTGGAAGACTAGTTCTGTAAGAAGCTGTGGTCAAATAAGTTTGGGCAGAGGCAGATATCATATCCTCCTCTTAGATAGTTTTAGTTTAGGCTGGGATATTAAAAACTTGAGAAGTCTTGCAATGAAGAAAGCTGTTTGTGTTACTTCCAGCCAGAGGTCAAGCTAGATACTCTGGGGGCCCCTTCCACCTCAAACCATCTAGATCCTAGATTAAAAAATACTTGTTGATGTATTTCTAGACTTTGAAATGGGGGACACATCCCCCTCAAAAAAGGAACGAACTGTGAGGCAAATCCAGCAATGGGAACAATAATGTCCAGTGTGCAATAGAGATTTGGGTTGCCCTGAAGATAGAGGCCTGTGGCTATAATGCCTTGTATGAAGCAAGCAAAGCTCTGAGCCAGCATATTTCTCAAGTAATATTGGTAGCCAGAGGACAGTAGACTGATCGCTTTAAAGTTCTGATAGAAAGTAAGTTTTAACCTAGATTTGTATCCCTAACATGAATTCCTCTATTCTTGAATTATAGGACATTTTTAAATAAACAACAACTATGAGGGCTTACTGCCATATAAACTTATACTAAAGAGTTTTCCAAAGAATAAACTTCAAGAAGGAGGGAAATAATTCAGAAAAAAAAATGATATGAATTAATGGTTAAAGAAAATAGGAAATGTGTATGAATCTAAACAAACTATGTCCAATAATATCTTTTTACTCTTTCCAAAAACAGTACTAAAAAACTGACATAGCATATGAGTCAGAGAGAGAGGACCACAATTAAAGTATTCTAATGTCCTCTTTACACTTTAAGGTATCATCTTAACTTAGAACTTAAGTTAAAGATGCCCTTTATTCCAAGGGCAAGGATTGAAAGGATAGAATTAGGGTGGGTAATTCCAAACCAGAAGAAGGAAAAAATTAAATGAAACCAAACTCATCTAATATCAAATATAATACATAAACATACATACATAAGCACACACGTATGTGTGTACTCTGATGCACACATGTGAATACATATATATATATATAAACATTTATATTACACATTGAAAAATCAGTGTTTAATTTTATTTTTATATAAATGTTTATATACATATAAACATTAAGTATATACATATAAACATTTATATTACATGTTGAAAAATCAGTGTTTAATTTTATTTTTATATAAATGTTTATATACATATAAACATTAAGTATATACATATAAACATTTATATTACATGTTGAAAAATCAGTGTTTAATTTTATTTTTATATAAAATATGCATATGTGTGAGGGAGCTAGAAATAAAAAATTAAGATGGAACCATTTGTTATCAAAATAAATATAAGTATTCTAAACTTGTCAGCTAAACACAGATTTTTCAGACTGATTTCAGACTGACTCTACTATAGTGGGAGAATTACTCACTGCTCGTGTAATTAATGATAGTGCAAGCAAATAAGTAAATATGGCTGTTAGTTGTTAGTATGCTGATTTTATAAACTTATAACTCAATACTTAAAGAATATCTTTCAAAGCACACATGAAATACTTTTTTTGATCGCATATTGGTCCATTAACCAAGTCCTAACAGTAACAGGGAATTGGTATCATCTCTGTCTTTTAAGTAAGCTCCTTTATATTCTTATTCTGATAAAAATTCTAAAAGCCTACAATAAATATTCCAGTGGTAAGATGGTAGACATATTTCCATTAAACTCAAGATGTTCATTATTGCTATTCATTAGTATTGTATTAGAGATCCTTAGGGAGACCCAATCCCTGGGTTGGGAAGACCCCCTGGAAGAGGACATGGCAACCCACTCCAGCATTCTTGCCTGGAGAATCCCATGGATAGAGGAATCTGGTGGTCTACAGTCCATGGGATAGCTAAGAATCAGATATGACTGAGCGACTAACTCTTTCTCTCTCAGCCAAAGAAAGGTGGGTACTTTGAAGATGTAAGGATTGGAAAGAAATAACTTGATATTTTATAATACAGTTATCTACATAGAAAATCCCAAAGAACCTATAGAAAATTTACTAGATATAATAAAAATTTTTTAAAATATAGCTAATTATAGATAAATATATGAAAATTGATTGTACTGATTCAATAAAGCTGTTAAAAATTAATTGCATATCTACTTGTCAGGAATAGAGAGTTCAAAAATGTTATTTAAAATATACTCTGTGCAATAATAATAATAATAAAACAGTACATAGGAATAAACCTAGTAAATAAGCATACATCTGTATGCAGAAAGCTCACAAAATTTTATTAAAAGACAATTTAATTTTCTGAGGAACCTCCATACTGTTCTCCATAGTGGCTGTACCAACTTACATTCCCACAGACAATGTAGGAGGGTTCTCTTTTCTCCACATCCTCTCCGGCATTTGTTGTTTATAGACTTTTTAATGATGGCCATTCTGACTGGTATAGGCTGGGACCTCACTGTAGTTTTGATTTGCATTTCGGCTCAGACAGTAAAGCGTCTGCCTACAATGCAGGAGAGCCAGGTTCGATCCCTCAATCAGGAAGATTCCCTGGAGAACGAAATGGCAACCCACTCCAGTACTGTTGCCTGAAAAATTCCATGGACGGAGGAGCCTGGTAGGTTACAGTCCATGGGGTCACAAAGAGTTGGACACCACTGAGCGACTTCACTTCACTTCTTCAATAATTAATGACACTGAGCATCTTTTCATGTGCCTGCTGGCCATCTGTTTGTCTTCTTTGGAGAGATGTCTATTAAGGTCTTCTGCCCGTTTTTTGGTTGGATTATTTGGTGTTTTGTTGTTGCTGCTGCTGAGTTGTATGAGTTGTGTATATATTTTGGAGATGAACCCTTGTCTGTAGTGTCATTCGCAGATACTCTCTCCCGTTTTGTAGCATTGTCTTTTCATGTTGTTCGTGGTTTCCTTTACTGTGCAAAAGCTTGTAAGTTTGATTGTGCTGTGCTCAATCCTGTGCTCAGTCGTGCTTAGTTGCTCAGTCCTGTCCAACTCTTTGCAACCCC